CCTTTCTCTGCCAGATCTCCCTCCACACTCACCATGCATGAAGACTCACACCTACCAATAAGATCCCACTCCTCTGCTCTACTCAATCCAAACACCTCTCCATTTCCAGAATAAAGCTAAGCACCATGGGAGATGGGCCCTTCTGTGCTTTTCTCCCTTGTTTGTGGAATGCCACAATCCACAGTTTAAAAATGAAACATATTATTTCTTTTCTGCAGAACCTTTGATTTTTAGATTAATTTCTTACATTTATAATATAGTTCTGAGTTGCTTGTTTAGATTCTCTGTGGTTTCTTTTCTATTACTCATATTTTTTGTTATGCTTTTCATTTTTTTTTAAATATAAAACACATTTAAATAGTCAGTATTATGATTGGTTTCCACACAATGACTGTTTTTTTGTTACCTAAAATATTTCTCTACAGTTAATATATTAGTTGTAGAGAATATTTGATTTGTACTGCTGACAGTAAAATTCAGTATGAAAAAACAAGTGGTAAACACGTTTTTCTGTACTCCTGCTCTAAATTGACTGACTTGTCAAAATGGAACATTTTGAATCTGTGTCTTTTGAAGATTTTGTGTTACTGGCCCATACCAATTTGTATGCCACTCTCCTAAATACTGAAAAATACATTATATGCAGACAAATATTAGAAAATAATTATTCAATCCTTGAAAAGTCATGCAAAGGACAGAGGCACCTGGCCAACTTATTCCAAGTCATCTGATTTAGAGATGAACTCAATTTATGGGTTAGTATTCTTATCAGATTTGCTCTTACATTACTTGTCTCAGTCTCAGGTTTGGGTGTCTTTTATTCAAATATTACTAGCTTTATATTTAGAAATTTTTCACATGCTATTCATTGCCTTCCCAGTTTGTGTTTGTCTACTTTGGTTTCTTTGAAGACCAGTACAGACCCATTTATTAAGTTAGAATATTATTGCAAAGTTTATTTCAGTGACTTTGTTTTCTAAGTGAAACACATTATATAGATTAACTACACACAGACTGATGTTTTCAAGCTTTTATAATAAAAAACAAAACATTTAGAATATTATATCAAACCAATAAAACCAATTTAATACAGAAATGTTGTTTTAATGAACAATATTGTTAATATCTGCTAAATGGTTATTTAAAAAAAACACTTTTAATCTGACATATGAACCTCATTGAAACACAATCTAATTTGTAGTAAATGACTGTATATCTTAGTTCAATCTTAGTTTAACTTTCCCTGTGTTGCTTTGGTCCTCCCTAACACACTCATCTTTTTTTTATGATCATGTCTTTAAAAGACTATAGTTTTACATCAGATGTCCTTTTTAGTTATACTTTATGTACAGAAATAATATTTTGACTGCTTTTGACAGTCACTGGCAGCATTGTTTGACTTCTTGTACAGCTTTTGCCTCACACTTTCCTCCTCCATACCACTGCCTCGTCAGTTAAACTTTTTGAGTTTTCACTGAATGTGGCAGATTATCCACAGTGAGCTTCCATGTTTTGAATGGGCTGTCTGTCTTGTCTCTTTTCACTGAAGTAGGTTTCTGGATTGTTTGTGTGTGGCTCTGTCAGGTCCCAAGCACCGTTTCTGGAGGAGCAGTAGAGCGGTTAATGTGCAGGCGGGTGCTGGCTATCACACTGAAGGGAGCGAAGGCAGTAGCTCTGCGTTTCTTTGTTCCCTTCAGCTCCCTACAACCTGTCTTTTGTAGTGCCAGGCAGGACCTTCCAACGGGCTGTTCATATACGTTAGATGAACTTACAAAGACACCACCTGAAGAGGTGGTTTTAAACAAATCTCCACAACTTGTGAAATATGGCATTTCTGCTGAGTTACGGATCTACAAATTTAACTTTAGTGCTTATATTTGACAAGCATTATAGTTTGCAAGCATTAAGTTTCACAAAACTGAATTGCTTTTGTTGACTGCTAGCCTATCACCAATAACACAAAGCTTGCTGAATCTTTTAAAGGGTAGAATATTATGTAAAATAGTTTTTTGAGCTTTATATGTTATGTTCCCTCATTAAGAACATGAATCTTCCATGGCAGTCACTCAGGTCTTTGTAAACATTTGCTCATAGGAAAAGCAGCCTCGTTATCCTGCAGTCCCCTTCCGCCTGCCCCACTCAACTCCTCCAGACTAGTGGCAGCAGCAACAGCACACACCTTGTGGAGCTGCAATTCTGATGAGCTCATCATATAAGCTACCTCCCAGTTCAATGTTCCTAAGAGCAGTTGTAAACGGTATCATGGAGGAGCATTGTTGTGATGACGCCCTGAATGTGGAGTGTCAGAAAAAGCTTCTTAAAGAGACAGAGGGCCAATTTCAAGACATCAGATTGCAAAGTGAGATTTTTTTATAAGTTAGTTTTGACATATTGCACATCCAGCATTTTTATAAGAACTGAAGTTAACATAGTTACTTGATTGTGGTATGAAATGTTACTATCTGCCTGGAAAATATATCATACCTTCCTTCAAGGTTGTTGAGTACAAGAAAACTGTGTTTATGTGAGAACAGATCACAAAAATACTTCTCTCTCTTCAGGATACTCCTTGCCTGCTGTTGGTGGTCAGCAGCAGACTGACCACCAACAGCCTCAGTCTCAGGTTTGGGTGGTCATGTCTTTTATTCAGACATTACTAGCTTTATATTTATAAATTTTTTACATGCTATTCATTGCCTTCCCAGTTTGTGTTTGTCTACTTTGGTTTCTTTGAAGACCAGTACAGACCCATTTATTAAGTTAGAATATTATGCGCCGGTGGATGATGGCCTGTCGGTGTGAAAATCCACCGTTGAACACTGTGCATTTTCTCAGCTTAGTAAAACTGATAAAATGGTATTAACTGTGCAGCAGGTTCCTGCTGGTGATTCATTCTGACATATTCCCCAGGGGTTCAATATTGTGATGGATCTGTTGCCACGGAGCTGTCAGCACCATCAGTATTTGTGTTTGTTTGTGTTATAGCTGGGCCACATGAGCAAGTGATTTGTGTGCTAGCATTGCAGATAGAAAGCAATATTACCATTCTTATTTATTAGCATGCTGCAGCATAGAGAAGCACATCTGATCAGCAGTGATGGTAGCGTTGATAGGGAAAAACTTAGCCAGCAAGTGTTTAAACAAAGAAATGTTTCATGGATCATTATGAACTTTTTTTTTGCATTTTTAATGTCTTGCCAACACTTTTATTTAGGGTTGTCCTACTCAGCATTATTTTTTGCCAACACCAGTCCAAATGATTTAGGTTTTGACATTTTCATATACCTAGTCTCAGTTCAATGCTACAGTAAAGTAAAAAAATATATGTAAATGCAATAAATTTAATGCAATAACTCACTACATTTCATTTGTATTATATGGTCTTTATAATTACTGGAATTGTGCAACACTTGGCCCCTTCACCAATGACGTTATTGTCAATATTACTGTCTTTACTGTAAGAGATGTTTTATCTCTGCAGGAGTTTCTTCAAGTCTGACACTCAGATGCATTATTAGTTGACTTTGTGAACATGAGTTGAAATGCCAGCCTGCACTCCTGACCCCAAACCTGTTTAACACTCGTGGAATGAGTGAGTGTGTGCCGTTCATGCCAGACAGACCAACAAATCCACATTTCACTAACTTGTGGTAAATGTTTTAAAAACGGGATGCTATTCACAACAGTGTGTGACAAACCTGCTAACCATCCAGCAGTGGTTGTGGTTTCTCCCACACACAACTGAGACTCATGTTAGCCACATGAATAACTTGCTAAACTGTCAATATGTCTAATTTCTTCTAATTTAAACCATCTAACCTAATCAAGGACACCAAACAGTAGTAGAATACTCTGACATTAAACAGGAACATTTTAGGAAGTTTTCTAATGGATGCAACCCAAATACTAAATTTTGTTGTTCAACTCAAAAATGGGTAATAAACTGGCTGCCCCGTGATGTACTGTCACAGCAGAGAAACAGTCAGCTTTGCAGAGATTTCTTTGTATTTGTGTTCAGCTGAAATGTCAGGTAGGCTACCCTTCTTTTAAAATGTGGTTCAGATAATTATTTAAATAAATATTAGAAGTCACTGCAAGACCAAAGGGAAAAAAAAACAATCAGTTGGAAAAATCAGAGTAAAGACCAATTTTCTTTTTCTTTTATTTTATTTTATTAATGGACACTCAGTAATTGAAAGAAAAGTAGGCCAGGTATAAAAATGTGAAAGAGTCTAAGCGCAATCAATCACCAGCTTTATGACTCTAAGTATGTGTCAGCACATGTGATGGCATGTTTGCAGACCCGAGGTATGTTAGTGCTTCTAAAGTGTCTCTGTAAACTATATGTGTGATGTATAGCGAGCCGGGCGAGAGAGATGTTAAAGGATTGTTTTTGCCTGTGCCAGCAGTTTCAGAGAGAGGAGGATGGAGGGAGAAAATGGGGAAGAAAAGGGTGGGGAGGAAGGCAAAGAGAGGAGGAGAGGCAGAGCAATACCAGTAAACAGGTGCCAGCTCCATTAGCACTCTTTTTACTGTGCACTTGTTTTTCTGGGGACTTCATTATTAGAAATAGTAAATGTATATGTTTTTAATAATAACTCTTCTTAAAAAAACACTGTTTAGCTAAGAAAATATGATTTCGGGAAATAAATGAAGCAACACTTTTAATCAGTATTACTGCATTCCAACAGATGTGAAATCCCCAGTAATTGCTCCTAGCCTCACTCTGAAAGAAACGTGCACACTGCACCAACAGCCTTGCACGGGCACCGATCCTGTCTGCTGCATCGCCTGAACATTAGCGAGTGAGGTAGAGAGGTGGGGGGAGCGCAGCAAGATAGTGGGGAGTAGACAAGTAGCAGACCCCCCACCCAACACCTCATACATGTTTTAGAATGTCTTTTTTATTTCCTAAATTATCCTGGTGTGCTTGCGTGCGTGCGTGTGTGTGTGACTGGCAGGGGCGATGATGGGATCCCTGCACTGCTCAGCGAGCGATCCTACACAGATGGACACACAGCAGGTCTATGAGATACTGGGAAATTAAATACAGGAAAAGGAAACAAAATCAATGCAGCATGAGAAGGGAGAGCTGACTTTGATTTAAAGCTGCTCTTGCTATTTGCCAACTGTCAGTTCATCCTTTTGCAATCTTTGTTGATGGGGAGGGTGGCAGGAGGATCGAAGCCATTTTACAGCATGTGGGGAAGAGATGCAGGGAAGGAAAGTAGCTATAAAAGAAGACAAACCTGTTTGTGTACCTTTATATACTCTCTCTGTCTTTGGATTAGTGAAGGAGGGAGACCTGAGATGAAAAAGAAACTGAGCACAGAAAGTGAGATAGGGAAGAGTGTGCAAAAGAGAGAGAGGGAGAGAGGGAGGGAGAGGAAGAGAGCTGTGCTGCAGTAGCATCCCACAGCAGACGGCTGAGGACCGCCGCTGTGTGTGTGTGACTGCACTGCTGACGAGGAGGAGGAGGCAGAGGGTGAGCACGCTCACAGACTCTGCAGGGCCACAGAGGAACAACAGTCAGCAGCAGCGCTAGTGTTGGCCCGCATCAGGTAGGAGACCCGTCCCCTCCGCAAGAGCGTTGTAACAAGATCTGGACACGCCAACGCCGCAGATACCCGCACCAGCAGCAGCAGCAGCAGCAACAACACCACCAACATGGCACAAGCAGCCAAACATCTCCGCAAGAACAAGGATTTAGAAGCCCAGTTGGAGAAGGAAGAGAAAGAGAAAGAGGAGGAGAGGCTGAGAAAGAGGAGTCGCTCCCGGGATAAAAAGCGCAAGGTACTGGGACCCTTCACAGGTGGGGGGCAGACAGGGGTGGGGTGACTGGAGGGAGGGGTGGCAAGAAGGATTGAGACAACCCTCCTGCTTTCTCTGTCATGCTATGTCAGGGGGTGTCAGGGCACACATGGGAACCCTGTTCAGAGTGTGTTTCCACTGTGTGTACACTGAAATACATGTATGTCCTGTGCATACAGACACGAGGAAATGGTAGCACACACTGCATGCTGTCCTACTCCTGACTGCTTTATCGACTGTCCTGTCTCAGCTGTCTCAGTACGTTCTCTACCCTCTTCTCTTTCTTTGTCTTCACAATGCAGTATGAATTATTCCTCCACCAGGACAGTAAGCTTGCTTGACTCTGCAACAGACCCTCTCTCTCCTAGTTTTTTTTTCTCCTCAGTGAGGAATTGTAATGACTGCAGAACAATAACCTGCAGGCTTCTGTCTGACTGAGAAGTACCGGGCAGAGCAGAACAACTGGCAAGGTTCGTTATAGCAATAAATCTCACCCCCCCCCACCCCCACATCATCAGGTCTGCTTCATTCCTCTGGACGCTCGCTGCTTTTCACTGAAACTCATTAATGAAAATGAGTCATCCGCAGATTGTGTATTGGTGGTGAAACCGGTAGTCGGTAAACGAGTCCAGCCATCCTGTGAGTGCGCTGTGTGCCAGGCTAGCTGTAAACCAATCTGACGCTGATGCAGGAGAGACAGCGTTACAAACAGAAACACAGCACAGCTTCTTCTTTCTCACAGGGGAGGCTCAAATACTTTTCGGATGTATTTGAGCAAAATCTCTTAAGTTAGCAGAAAGTCAAAGAGAAAAATTATTAGGCAGCTGCACATAGATTTTTGTTTCAAATTTATTTATCTTTTTTTCTGTTTTTGATGGAAACTAATCAGCATAGTGGTGCACATGCCATCACTCTTTTTTGAGCTGTTTTAGCTCCCATGGTCTTTTTTTTTCTTCACCTCCTGTGGTCTTTTTTTTTCTTCACCTCCTGTTCTTTAAAAGCCCCATCAACTTTTTATTTCTGGAAGTGAATGTAGAGATGACTGTGTGTGTGCATGTTGCATGTGTGAGAAAGTGGAGTCTGAGCATATCTGGAAAATGAGGTTCAAGAAGGGAAAGCCTGCTGCTCTTACTGTATGAATGAGGATGTGATGGGAGTGCTGTGGAAGATGCAAAGGCAGTTCAACTTTGACTTAAAGGGTCTGGTATTCGACTTGAACATCTCTTATCTCTTACACAACCACGCAGCTTCAATCTGGGAAAAGCTCCCCCCCTTCAGCTCTTCTTCATAACCTCTCCTTCTCTCCTTCCTTTTTTTAACACTGGCTTGTAGCCATTCCTGGTTTTTAGAGCAGACCTTAATACTGGAGGGATTCTTTCTGTCACTCATTGTTTTCTTCCTGATGCCTTAAGCTCTTTCTCCAGGCAGTAATTCACACTTTGCCTGGCTGTCGAAAGACTACAATCGACATCACACCTGCTTTCTTAGGAAGGTTAGTATAAAACAGTGATCCCCTCTTTATGAATGTCCCTGTCAACAGATTTCAAATTGTGACAAGAGTAAAACTGTGCTTGTGACGGACACTTTTTGAACGTTGCTGTTTCGACTAATCTCTCAAAAGAATTGTTTGCGTCAATGTCTTGTGTTTTTTGTCAAATTATCTCTGTGGAATATGATGCAATTGCAGGCAGACAACGGAACTTGACCCTTGTTTTCACATTAAAAGATATCAGCAAAAATGTTGGTTCTAAGTGAAGAAGGGTGAAGTATGGTACTCTTTAATAGCCAGTCTCTATTTGGCTGAACAACTCCAGAGACCTTCTTATCTCTACCAGTCTCTGACCTCAGTGTGAGGAAGGTTTGTCCTGCTCCTCACTTTCAGCTGGGAGACATTTGAGGGGTTTCCTGCATGTGAAGGCAGGTTGAAATCATCCCACTGAAACTGAATTATATCAACATCCGGGCCTCGATTCTGCTGCTGTGTGACTTTTCACGGTGTTAGTTCTTATTTTTTGGGAAATTTTTTGAATCAACATCTTCAGGGTCGAGTTTGGCTTGAAGTCTTTTATTGTTTGGCTTGAAGTCTTTTATTGTTTTTCTCAAGCACTCTCTGATGCCTGGTAAAATGTATGGTGGGTTTTATGATGCTCAGCTGGTCCGGTCCTGCTGCAGTAAAGCATCCCAAATAATGAGACTTTCGCCTCCATGCTTCACTGCTGGCATGACAGTTTTTTTCCTTGAATGATGTGATTGGTTTACATCTAACATATATTTGGTTTTGGTGTCCACGTAATTCAAGTTTCTGCCCAAATCTCTGGCAAATTGTGGTCTGTTTGTCAGTGAGCAAACTCCTTGTACACCTCTAATTGAAAGGACATTTTAGGAACTTGCTTGAATAGCCAAAGCTCGATTTGAATTTACTCCACCTGAAATCTATTTTTTGGTAACAGGACAGCCAGTTTCTAATCCTTCTAATATCTATGTTATTCCCTTACCGGACTCAGAAGCTGCTACAGTCTTCCTTTTCGAAGCCCCAGGTTGCTCCCTCAGTCTCTCCAAGTCTTTTACTTTACCACTCAGGAGCGTAACAATCTAAACGTCTGAGGTTTGAACAGGGTAAGCCTCCAAAATGCAGTGATTTGCCCGTGTGTCATTTTTTGACCTTTCAGTTGTGGCAAATTTCCTTTAGATTAAGTCAGGGGTAATGATTGTCTGTAATTATCCTAATGTGGCTTTTAAAGACAAAGGTCTAATTTATGTTCAGTCAATTTCTTTTCATTTTTGAAGTCGCAATTTTTCACTCCTCTCTATATGTGGCAAAAATGCGTTGGTGTTTCTGATGACTGTGTGGAGCTTGTGAACACATAAATCTTCGTTCGCAAATGAATGAAAACCACAATTGCTCATCAATGGGTGAAAGTAGCGTTTTAATTGGCTCCACGCTGTTGTTCAGCGCAGGTCAGATGCTGAGTGGTGGATAATATTGTCCTCAAATTACTTTTATTGATGAGTTTGCTCCTCTTGAAAAATGAGCATTGTCAGGATGCGAACAACGCCCATATTATTCTGGTCAGCACCCATTTTCACCTCTTTTATGTGCTTTTGTGTCCAGTAGCTTTGATGTGTCAGGGATTACCTGGTGACAGCAGCCAGGAAGTTGTGCTTTGCTGCGATCTTTGTCTTAATTCAGCATGATGGATAAAAATGGGAAAAACTTAATACCTGCAGGTTCTAGTACATTTTTTCTAGTGTAAAAAAAACAGCTTAGAGACTCTTACATGATCATAAGACATGTTGAGTTTGAAATATTTTCTGCAGCTTTCACATTGTGAGTCCAGCTTATATATATTTTGACTTAGATTTTGTAGATAATGATCTAAAGTGTAGTTGATAGTTTTCAGATTCACTTTCTATACATTTTTATCATAAAACTAGTGATCTGGCTTTGTTTCTTTTATGGCAAAGTTTTGACCAAAACATTGAACTTAAATGTTACATAATCACCCTCTCATCTTTTCCTGATCTTGGTAATTTTTTTAACTTGTTCACATTGATTGCATCACAACTTATTACAGTACAGTCTTAAAAATTAAGAAGCAGTCTAGATTTGGATCACTGTGCAGTATGTCAAATTGCTGAAAAATTAAATTTTATTATACCATTTTCTCTTTCCTGTTTTTTAGAAAAAGAATTTGTACTTAAAAACTGTTTTTAGTATTTCATTAGATTCTTATTACATCTAGAGAAAAATAAGTCACATTTTTCTTTATTGACCATGCCAGAGCTATAGCTGGGAGACAAACTTTCACCTGTAGAAAGACGGAAAAGTATGGGTATTATGGTTTTTACACCATAAATGTCTTAAGGTGTTCTTATCATCTATCTTTTTGATAAACATTTGTAGTTAAATACAGCCTGACTAATTTTATTATGTTAACTATTAGCAGCAAACATTTGTGTTTATTAAAAATAGGTGGAAAAATAACTAAAAACCTGTAAATGTGTAACAGTTTGTAAAAGATAAATGGACCCATGTTTAATTGCCTAAATATTGTTGACACATGTTTCAAATAATTTAAACTTCCAGAGAATGTATTTTATGAACTTAATCCATTGAACTGAGCATTTTAAAAATAATGAGACTGAATGAAATGCTGCAATAGAAAAGGCCAACCTTTCTGTTTACACTGGATTTTTTGGCTGCTCAAGTACAAAGAAGCATTGTGGCCTATCAGTAGTGCTTATTTTGAAACTCATCAATACAATAAGTCTTCTCAGGATGCACTGCGCTGCTTTGTTGGCATATTTGTCTGGCAGTATGTTGGCTGTAAATGCACAGCAGCCCATCAGGCACCTTAGCGGTAAAAATGAGCTGCACTGGTGCAGAATGCCACGGCTCAAAAGGCTGTTAGTGAACACTGCAAAGTTAGACAGCACTGTCTCATAGCTCTGTCCTCAGACTGTCTTCATGTAAACCAGACGAAGGCTGGAGCAGATCAGCATTCCAACAATGTCTCCGTCTGCCCTCCAAAATGTATCTCCTACCCTCCACGCCTCAACAGCAAGCGGAGCTGTCGATCAACTTAATGTCTATAACAGATTGGTGCTGAGGTGTTTTTGCCGTGTGTTTATGTGACTTTGTGTTTTCAGGTTTGTTGCAGTGGATTAGAAACATAGTGTCTTAACGGCATCAAAGCCAGCAGCTTCACGGTGTCTGCAGATCAGTCCTGCTTATCTGTACCACCATTACGGTCATCAGAGTGAATAATTTATCTAAATGTCCTTTATGACCGCATGTGTAATCATAACTCTGAACTAAGCATGGGGTGCTGCAAGATTCTTTTGGTGCGATAGCCTTGAGTTAAAATATAGTACTACGGTATTTACACAAAATGTAATAAAAATGCTCATCATGATTTGTTTGCTTTTTGCTACAACCGAAAGACAAAATTTATGATTTAATTACTAACACTTATTTAGGG